TAGGTTTTTAAAACTCAATTTTGTATTCCATTCTCATATATAGATCAATTAATAAGTTAAGGGCCCTATACTCAGTTAGTACAGTATAACAGTATAACAGTAAATGTTATTGTTTGTGAATTGCTTTAGTTTGAAATAATAAATTAGATACCAGTGTAATATATTGATAGTCAATTTTTGCACATACAGGATATATATGATATTAATTTCCAGAAAAAAGTTTTAATTAAGTCTTTATTTAATTTTATAAATTTAAAACTTACATTAATTTTAATTTTATGATTATTAAAATAGTTGCATATATAGCATAACTTACGAAACCATAATGGAAATGGAAATCATTAATACTTTTTAAATAATAATACTACTATATTAGATAAAAATAATTTACTCTGTTTACTCTGTGATGATATTTATACATATTTATCTATAATATACTAAAATATACTAAAATTAATGAGAAAACTAATTGATAATGAAATGCAGGAAAATGTTGGCCTTATGTCATGCAATGACGCCACGCTCTTGGATCAGGAGAACTATCACATCCTTCAGCTATTCTTCTCCGATAAGAAATATTACCAAAAAATAGTGGATCTCATGCACGAGGTTTGCCAGTACTTCTCAAACATACAGCCTATTAATTGTAACAAATATGCGTTTTACAGATTTCTCGCTACACAGCTTATGGCCAGTGTATGGACACAGCCTCCCATCCCCCCAACCAAAAGCCACAGTTCCATCTGTTTACGCAGTTACGATACGACAGTATTGCCAAATACAAGACGGCCTACTACTCATTCGTCTTACCCGTTAGGCTCGGTATGACATTTTGCCTCATATTTATTAATAGCACACAAAATACTTAGTTTACAAAATTAAAACCTTGTGTTTTAAAACTAAGAATTACGTATAGTTTTTATTTTAAACTGAGATTCAATGAAATTTGAACAAGTACAGCAATGTTACACAAACTTGCTTTGATCTGATAAAGCATTTCTAAACATAAAGATAATGTCAAATGATTTTGTGACAAATGTTTATATATTTTGTATATATTGTTTGAATTCATGTCTCAATAGCGATGTATATGTCATCACTTGATTCAGAAGAAGAGCACAAGACTGCAGAGGAAATACTCCTCAAAATTGGACACTTGTTTCAGGTGCAGGACGACTATCTGGACTGTTATGGAGACCCGGCTATTATTGGCAAAATAGGCACAGATATAGAGGAGGGAAAGTGCAGTTGGCTTATCATATCTGCCTTCAAACTGTGTGATCAAAAACAGAGGGCTATTATTGAGGAGAATTGTGGCATAAAAGACGGCGATTGTGTCCGAAGAGTGAAAGAAGTTTATAACGAACTCAACCTTAAAGACCACTTCAAGAAAGAAGAGGAAAGGCTTTACAAAGAGATTTGTCTTATGATTGAGAGCTTGAAAAATGAGATTCAATTGAGTCCTCAAATATTCACTGAGTTTTTGGAGACAATTTATCAAAGAGAAAAATAGACACATATTATGTAATTTCAATTAGTTTTACTAAATTATAATACTTTGGGTTTTATTTGGTTGCCATAACACAGAAATACAAATTAATAGGATAAATAAAATACTGTTTACTAAAAATTATTTATAAATATAATCAAATTATCAATTGAAATTAATAAATGTCTTACAGCTAAATAATCACTATTTTTCCAAAATTATCAAATAAATTGTATGCTCTTAGTTTAAATAAACACATTAATGATAAAATCATTTTGTTTAATTAATTTTAATAAACCCATAAACGATAAACTCTTACATCCCTTGACATACGATGTGTTTCATAATTATTGAACGATTACATAGATTTCTGCATTTACTCAATGGTTTAATGTTATTATTTGTTTTTCAATCATTCTTTTCATTCATTTAATTCACTTTTCTTTAGCTATTATTCTCTCTCTCTCTCTCTCTCTCTCGCTCTCTCTCTCTCTCT